CACCCTCGACATCTACGTCTGCGTCTTCTGCAGAGGCTTCACCGTTGGTCTCGGCTTTGGGCTCTTCAGTAGAGGTTTCGCCGTTGGTCTCTGCTTCTGCCGCCTTCTTTGCCTTCTTCTCTTTTTTGTCCTTCTTCTCCTTCTTATCCTTCTTCTTTTCCTTCTTAGCAGCCTTGGAGTCAGAGTCTGCGCCGTTTGTCTCTGCTGGTGTGTCCTCAGCTACGCCGTTCTGTTCCTCAGCTGCGTCTTCCATAGGTGTGTCCTCAGATGCGGCAGCGTCTTTGTTCTTCTTCGACTTCTTGTCCTTCTTCTCTTTCTTGGTCTTCTTTTCCTTCTTCGCAGGCGCGTCTTCGGTGGCATCGGGCATTGGCTCGTCATCGTTGACGCTGATGAAGTTCTCCGAGGACTTCATCTCATCGATAAGATCAGCCTCTTGCGCATCCTCAGGGACATCCGCATCCTTGGACTTCTTGGACTTTTTGGACTTTTTGGACTTCTTTTCCTTCTTTTCCTTCTTCTCCTTCTTTGCGTCTTCTAAGGCGTCCTCGACGGCCGACGTGTCGACATTGTCCTTGGACTTCTTAGACTTCTTATCCTTCTTGTCTTTCTTTTCCTTCTTCACCTCGGTCGCTTCGACTACAGGCGCATCTTGGACATTGTCGGTCTTCTTGGATTTTTTGGACTTCTTTGGCGCATCCTCTGCTGCCTCGACGTCGCGCTTGCGCTTCTTCTCGGGGGTGTCAATTTTAGATTTAGACATGGTGGGCGCGCAAAAATGGTGTAGATCTGTAGGAGCGTCGCGAAACGAGAATGGAGATCCTGAACTTTTTCTGCCGGGCGGTCGCGCAAGATTGTCTTGGCGCGTGAACTACGGCATCGATGCACCCCTCAAGCGACAGAACTGCAGTCGCAAAGCATCATGCGGCCCCCGGCGCATCGAGCAAAGCTCCCACACGGCTCGCTGAGGCCCCCGACATCGCGTACCTCTGACTGCCCATGTCCACGCCAGTTCTCGAACAAACATCCCCGCCAATTCCTCGTCGCGCACCAGGGCTCGCCCCGGCCACAGCTACCGTTCCTATATCCCTCGGGCCAGCACCTCTCCAATGGCCAACTGCAACGTCTGTTCTCTATTAGCGCCAACCACAAGAAATTTATAAAGGAGACGGCGAAATTGAGTGTGCGATATAGCATCCTCATCTTTCTCCTCTCATCATGCGTCAGTATCGCAAGTCTGGGCATTTTGAGCGAGCAGCAAGAGCGGGCGTTTCCGTCGCCACATGAGTGGAGTCTGATTACGAGATTCAGGTTCCGGAGAGGAAAGTGGTGGCAGGTGCCCGAAAACAACGAGGAAGAGGGTTTCCCCAACTGGGCGCGCGTCTACTCAGAGCTGGAATATGCGCTGAACCGATTGGAACATCCGAACAAGGATGGCGCGGGTTTATCTGACCAGGAAGAGGGAGGGATCTTGGTGCCCGGCGTAGGCAAGGCAGGCTTCGATTTGACGGCCAAGAGCGAGGAGTGGCGACAAGGGTACTACGAAGTCTTGATGGGCATGGGTAATGCTGCAGAGAGGTTAGATGGATGGGTGACGGACAAGTGGAGGAGAAACGTGTGGGCGCCAGAATTCATTCAATCGCCCTCGAATCCACGACCGAAAGCTGTTCTTCCCGGCATGCCCGAACCACCAGATGAGGAGCATCGCTTTCCCGCGGCGGAAGCACCAGAGACATTCTACCTCAAGGTTATCACCTCTAAGGGGTTTACAACATATCAACGGCTGTCAGCTGCGTTGAGCTATGCCGACTGGCTCAATTTCAGAAAGCTCCCCGACTCGGCGGAGGAAATGTATAGATGGGCACTTGACATTGCCATTGCAGGCCTACCCACGCCCGAGCCTTCGACAGTTATCGACCGAGACAGTGCCATTCTGTCGTCTACGGCACCCAAGGAAGCAGTAACACCAAACATCCTCTACGCGGCGACAAACCTGGCTACTTTTCTAGCGGAACAACGAAGAGTCTCGTCTGCACTCCCAATCTTCGTCTCGCTGCTCCGTGCTCGTATCGAAGCCCAGGAGGCGCATATTCCTGTGGTTCATGCACAAAAGGACTCTACTCTCATCGGTACTCTGTTTAGCTTGCTGCGTGAACCCGACTATCCAGAGGTACCACCCTCAGGCGACGAACCACTCCTCTGCAAAGAGAGCGATCGCTGCGAAGAAGCCGCCTTGAAGAACTATATTGGCGAGATCCTTTTCGCGACAGCCGGCAACTCATCTAGTCAACGCCAACAGGGCCTCTCATGGGTGCGCGATGGTGTCTCTACCTCCAAGCTCGCGCAATCGCTCGAACCCATACGCGCCAACGACGACCTCCGCAAAAAGTGCGAAAAGTGCGAGGAGGTCGGTCTCGAATCGTGGGGAAAGATCATGACTTACTTGGCTGCTGAGGCCCGGGAGAAGCGGGATCAGGCAAAGAGCGGAGGTCTGAAGGGGCTGGTGTGGAAGGTCAAGGGCACCAAGGCCCTGGATGAGGACGTGGAGAACCTAGAGGGTGAAGAAGAGGGCGTCATTCTTCGGCTCAACAAGCTCAGAAGCAAAATGCTCAAGGAGGAGTATGAGGAGATGGATCGCAAGTTTGCGCGAACCTTTGTATTCTAGCAACTGGCTGTAGGATATGACCCATGGAGCTGTACAACACCTACGCCTGCGTAGTTCTGCCAAGCGCGACCGGTAATTTTACCCAAAGCCCTCTCACAGCCCCTGCATCAGTTCTGCCAGTGCAACTTATCGCATGTGCATACTCAACATCACCATGTTTCAGACGTGGATCACTTTAGCCTTCACCCTATCAATGTCGGCACATCCCTCTGGCGCGGATCGCCACATCCGGCTCGCTATCAGGGCCCTAGCGCTCGAGAACCAATCATCCAAGCCACACCCGCTGTCAATTCCAACCGAACCGAACGCTTGCTTTTGGTCACCCATCAAATGTGTTCGCACGTGTGCCGGCCTCCCCGACTATTGGCGTGGGCAGCTGATTATTGCTTGGGGACACAGGCGAATTAGTACGAGTATGTCTGCCATGCACAGACGGTATGTCGCTAGCGCATGGGGTTTGGTGGAGGAGAATTGGGTGGGTAAACCGTTCGTCTGATGCGGTTGTGAAGGGGGTGACTCGGTAGTCAGCTGGGCGTAGGCGTTTGTATAAGAGAAGCAGTGATTCAGCAGTTGGTTTCCTCTTGCGCGCAAACCGACACAGACCCCATTCACAACTACTGCCTTCGTTATATACCCAAAGACGACACGATGGCTTTCAGACCGCTTGTTGCGCTGGCTACCATGGCCGTATCTTTGGTCAGCTGCGCGCCGCTCGCACTCGACGAAAGGCAGGCGCCAAATGGCGTTCCCGATTATGTACTCAAATATGGTAAGCAGTGATACTTACTTCTGCTCTGCCGTCTGTTATTGTACATCGAACTCGACTAACCTGCCTTTAGCGCCCATCGTCTACCTTCACTCGCAGGATGCCTACTATCCCACCGATATACAAGCATTCCTGAACCATACGACTCCGCGAGTGAAGTTCAACGAAGTTTCTGGTCCTTCAAAGCCCCTAACAACTTCCAACCTCGATCAGATGGGCAGCGACGTCTGGCTCACATCCAACGACGACGTGACGAAAGATCCCACATGGATCAAGGGCACAAAACCCAACGCGCAGGGAAAGACCGAAGGAGCGACCACAGCGGCCATTATCGTGAATGACAAGGGCAACGGCAACGTTGATGCTTTCTACATGTACTTCTACGCCTACAACTACGGCGGTGAGGTACTAGGGTGGAGCAAACTGAACTTTGGTACAGCCTTCTCCCATCCATACTATGAAACTGTTCAGTCCTGACACGCCGACAAGGCAACCACGTAGGCGATTGGGAACACGTAATGGTCCGTTTCGCAAACGGTTCTCCCGAGGCAATCTGGTACTCTCAGCACGCAAACGGGCAAGCCTTCCGCTACGGCACCGTCGAGAAGACCGGCGACAGACCCATCGCATACTCCTCCAAAGGCTCGCATGCCAACTACGCCATCTCCGGAACCCACGACCACACCATCCCCAACCTCAATCTTCCGGGCGGCGTCTTGGAAGACTACACAGACAGAGGTGTGATGTGGGATCCTCTCCTATCGGCCAACTTCTACAAATTCGACGCCGGAAAGTCCGCTTTCTCGGCTTATGATGGTCGGGCGCCGACGGCGTGGTTGAACTTCAAGGGCAGATGGGGCGATGAGGAGTATCCCGAGAGTGATCCGAGACAAGTCAAGCTGTTTGGTCAGGCTAAGTTCTCGGGTGGACCGACTGGACCTGTGGATAAGCAGTTGAACAGGGAGAAGATCTGTCCGGATAACGGTCAGCTTTGCATTCTGAGGAGTATCCTCGTTCCACGGAGTAAGGCTACAGATGAGGTTGCGCAGGATGGGGATGTTGTTCTGGAATGATGAGTGCGAGACAGTGATTTCATGAATCTGTTCAATTACTTCCACGTAATATATAATGATATTAGGACTTTCAACAAAGCACATACTTCGTTCTGCTGGCTGCAACACAAGTATAATCAAGTTCCCCAGAGCCATTGAGGCTATACCGCCCTCTTCTGTGTGCCCTGAGCCCAATAGATCGCCCCAGATCTAGTATAACGCCGTACAAAAAACTTAGGGTATCATGATAACGACTGACTGAAAACTCAAGTTCCAAAACGAATGAGAGAAATCGCAAGTATAATACACTGTCCAAAACGAATGATCCGCCAAAAACTTGGAAACACCCGGAATGACAGTAAGTTGCACACAACCCAAGAATAGAGAACCATTGATAAAATAAGAACTGATGATACAAAAGGTCAAAGCACAATGACTCGAAACACGGTGAGCTGACGCGAGCCACGTAGCACTGTTGAAACGCCACAGTAGTACGACGACGTGGAGAAACATTGACGCATCACCACGGCTCTGGATGACGCTGAGCTTTGCCTTCTTCAGTGGCTTGGCCATTCGACACCTCAGCGTGACGTACACGGACGTCGTGCTTGTGGAAATCATCTAGCGCGATCTCAGTACCAGAGTCTTGTGTGTCGCGAGAGCTCGTCATCGTTTCCTTGCGATAGGCATCTCGTCGCAGATGATGTTGTAATGGGCTGCCAGTCAGCTTGGATTTGACCGTACCCCAAGCTCTTCTGCACTCGGCGCGGGTTGTGAAGATGTAGATGGTTGCGTTCCAGGCTCCTTGAAGAGGCAAGACGATCGCGGAGATGATGTTGAGAGCAAAGCTCGAGCGGTTTCTGTGCGTGAATTGGTACATGCGGTTGATGCTGCTAGGTAGCCAGACCACAAGCAAGGCTACGAACATGAGGAAGGCGACTTGGAAGTATGCCATGGCTGCAGCATGACCTTCTGCGGTCCGCTTGGCGACAGGACGCGTTGTCAATAATGTGGTCGGGATTGCCGAGGTTTCTGCAGGGCTTGTCGCAATGACGGTCGCCCTGTACCCGTTCCGACCTCTCGTACCATTGTGTGGATGTCGCTGCGCTTCAACATCCTCGATCTGTATCCTGGACGTACGAGCTGCATCCGAGGCTGGTAGTGCTTCCGTCGCCGTATCGTCGTGTTTGCTCGTGGAAAGCAAGCGGGTGCTCGAAAACGAATTGATGGAGCTTTGATCCGGCTCGGGAGAGACACAGCGTGAGATGGCGTCCTCTGGCTGAACGTCGCATTTAATCTGTGTCGTCACCACGATATTATTTGCACCCACAAAAGGATGCGGAGTAGTGTTCTCGGTAGCAGCAGTGAAGGAGTTTCTGGCTAGATATTGGTGCGAGCTTCGAGAAACGGAGCGTAGTTCGGCCCGCTTCCTCCAGATCCGATAACCGGTGATGATGTAGATGCTGATAGTAGTAGTGATAACAATCCTGGCGCGATTAGTCGTGCGCTTGGCTTGACGAGGATTGGACTTACCAGGTAGGAGCGTAGAAAAACGCAATCCGCATCCACTCGACATCAGACGATACCCAGCACCAAAGAGTTGCTGATCCGATAATCTCGTTTCCCGTTCTACCTAAGATGAAGTAGACGAGAACTGGTAAAGCTGGGATCCCATAACTACACGCGACATACCACTTCTCCAAATGGCGAAGTTGCTGGGCATCGTATCCATAGAAAAACACCAGGAATACATTCGTAGCCATCGATAAACAGAAGAGCGCATCTGTGATCAAGAACCATTGGATCATGAGACCCTGGAACTCGCAGAGACCGGACGGGGGTTCAGAATCCTTTGGTAAGACTGCAATCGACATCAAAGTCGCGATGTTCGTCAAGATGTTCCCGAATGTCGCGAAGAATACCAGACGGTTAATTGCTGCGCTATATCAGCTCTTGTAACGCATCGAAGCAAGTCAACGTACGTTTTCTGAAGAAGGGAAAACACACGAAAGTAGTGATGATGATTGTTGAGCCAATGACGGAGAGCCCGGACGCCGCTCTCGTGGCGATGACAAGCGCAAAGTCTTTGTGGGGTGATAGTGGCGTAGGCATGTCTGAAAGTCGTCGAGACAGCGTGTTGTGCTTTGCAGAGAAGGAAGTGTGCGCCAAGGTTGGCTTAATCTGGTGCGTTTCTAGCGTGTGAGTGATACTGAAAGTATTTCCCGGATTCACTTGAGTGCGACTAATCGTGTTTGGTAGTTATTTGATCCCGCCGACCGCCGCAGTACTTGTGAAATATCCCGGAGAGCGCCACAGTATCGGCCCTGCAATCACGACGAACGACTTCGCCGACGAGATGCACAGTTTAGGCGCGGAGCCATGCGCAAACAGCCAGTATAGTCGATATAAGGGCCAACAAGGGTGGCCGTGGTCGAGTGTGGAGGACAACTGGTATGAACGGGATGAAGGACCTTCGAATCTGGAAGCGGATCGACTGACAACGCAGGATAACGTGATCGAGAGAGATAATATTGACTTCCCAGCTAGGAGAAAGGACTCTCCGCCTGTAGGAATGTAGATTGCTTCGTAGATTTGGTGTACAACGCGCTTACGAACGCAACGAAACCCTTACGCACAACGTCGTACAGGGTCCACAAGAGGAAAGGAAAGATGCAAGAAATGAACTTGAGCCACTATGTCGGTTCGTAAGTCGGTCTCCCGGCGAATGAAGTTTTGTGCACGGCAGTAGCGTGGTAAATCTGCTCCACAGGGTGGGCACAAGAGGTACAGGAATGGTCAATAATAGCGTGAAGTAGATAAAGATAATGCACAACTCAATCCTTCCCTACATTCAAGTAGCTGGTATATAGCTTACTACTGTCTCGAGCTTTGCGGAGAGCATGGTTGCCGTAAGCCATTGCTGCTTTTGGTAACAATTGCTGCGTACTGGCTTTCGTGAGGATAGAACCCTGTATTGTGGCGTGCAGGCTGTTTGCAGTCCACAAAGCTGAGGCCAGAGAATCGATAGCAGAAAAATGATACCAATAGAGGTCTGCGATCTGGGAGGCACGCCGTCGAGACCACGACGTGGGACGTGCCAAGCCAGCCCGTCATCTTCCCCGCAGCTCCACTTTCATCTCATTCGGCAGTCTTTACCACTGCACGTCCTCGTCCTCCAAAACTGCGGTCGCGCCTGCGCCCTCTGCCCTAGAACAAAGAGCCTTCTATTCCAGCTAGCTAGATGCGTACGGTATGCGCAGGCTGAACATGTAAGATTCAGATACATCGGATCACCTCACGGCTACGGCACAGTCTCGGATGCTACGGCATCGGCAATGTGCAGTCTCGCAAAGACCCTTTCCAACTGACTGGTAGCAGAGACCTAGCTTAATACTGTTTAGACGTTGGTTAGGACTATCGATCACCAGTTCCAGTTCGATGATGTTTAACACGCAAAGAATGCTTACTGAGCACACCAATCAGGCTCACATCACACACCACCAACCTCTCACATAGTCGTCTGGTCACATAGCATCTTCTACTAGGCTGAGAGCGGTGGCCATTCCTCTGATGATGGAAGGTCATTCTCGCCTACGATGTCCTATCACAAAACTCCTTCACCCACCACTAACCATTACCCGGCGAATAGCATTTCACCCTCGAAGCTGACTGTAAATATGCAGCACAGTAGTCAAGCCTCTTCTTGAAAAGATAAGAGAACAAAGAGCGGTCTTAGATCATCGCTTGATCAGCAAACGAGACACAATTCGGCCACCGCGACCCTGCCGGTGAGACGGATCATCCCGATACTCAACGACGAAGGGCGCCGACTATTCCGACTCATCCGATGTATCCCAGACGTGCCCAGATTAACAGTCAAAGTTCATGCGGCGAGAGGCTCGCTGCTGTATGGCAAATAGATTTGCGATGTTGCTCAAAATGGCAGTAGTATTGCTAGGGTTACCCTGAGTGTCGCCGGATTCGACTAAGTTCCCAATAAACACTGCCATCCCAGTACCAGCTGGAAGGTCAGCCCTCTTAGAGGGTCCCGGTTATATGGCTATGAGTCTGTGCACGGCACTTGCTCAATCCTAGGTTAACCTTCGGCACAAAAACAGATGCACGACTTCGCCGTTGTTGCTGCGGCTATGGCTGCACCCTTACATATCAGCCCTGCGCCAGATCAAAGGGTCCAAGAACAGCAAGGCACTACTACTCCTACTGGAACGTGACTCCATTTCAATCTCCATTGGACACTTTCACATAACCAAATGGACTCAGGTCGCCGAAGTAAACGTCAGCAATCGAGGTCTTCAGGTACATTGATCCAAACAACATGTCGTTCAACCACAAAAAAGATTGATTCCATGCGCAAGAAGGAGCGTATTCCAGTTGTTTTATTTCACGCATGCCTGTTTACCTTCCGCCTATCCAGCCCTCAGAAACCTCCTCACGTAGTAGCCACCGCAGCATCAGTAGCAACCGCATCCTCCGCCTTAGCCGGCTCCTCCGCAGATCTCCTCTGCTTTCCCGAAATGAGATAAATACTAGCACGCACCTCCAACAACGGATCGTCACTCGGCTGTAACCCATCAATCCGCGGAATAGGATCGAAGATGATGCTCTTCTGCTGCTTCGCGCTCTCCGCGTCCTCCATCGTCTTTTCAATCTGGATCTCGCCTAGCTCTACAACACTCCTCTCCTCAGGCCATGTTTCCGTCGCGTTATCCGTCACATCCCCTTCCTCGGCGACTTGAGCCAAGAGCTTGAATCCAATCGGACCAGACTGCAAACGCGGCTTCAACTCGTCGAACAGGTAGGATTCAGACTTTTCCTTTAGTGCCTCGGAGTCGAGATGTTTTTCTCCAGCGATAGGCACAATCCTGTACCTCACCACAGTAACCTTGTCCTCTTTAACAAGCTTAAACGCATTCACACCGAAGAACTTCTCCGTTGCAAAGCTCTCAGGGCTAGGCTTCGCAGCCTGTAGGAATCTCGCTGTCTCGGGATGGCGGCCAAGGAACTCAGGCACCGCTTCTCCCGCATTCTGCCCCGTTGCCGCTTTGAGGAACTCTAGAAACTCGGCGCCGGTACGTGTGGGGAAGTATGGCGTCGAGTGCGCAACGATATCTGTGTGTTGCCTTCGCCCGTCTTCCTTGGGCGGTAGGTGAAAGCGAATGGCAATGCCGCGGGGATTGGCATTGGGGTCTGTGTCTGCGATCTTGGGGAAACCGGTGGAGGAAGAGAAGCGAACGGTTATTGGTGTGGAGGGCGTGTTGAAGTGCGGGGCTGTAGTGAGGTCCGATACCGTGGCACTGGGAGTAAACGTTCCGGTAAGGAGATGTCCTTTTGCGTGGGCTGGTAGAGGATGTGTTAGCTAGAGGTTGCGTTTGGAACAGTGACCCAGAAAGGGTTAAGCAAGGAGAAGGTGAAGAATAAGGAAGAAGTACATACCTGGTCTAAAACTGTGCGGCGCGCCACCAGCCATACCGCGAAGAGTGCTCACAAGACCATTGCTCGTCTCCAGCACCTCGGCATTCGTCGAAAGTGGCATGATTGATGAACCTACGAGTTCTCCCTCGATGCAGTACTTGTCCAGATGTACCTAAAGTATCGTTGATCAAAGTCAGCAACAACACAGACTGTTTGCAGCAAAGCGACTTGTCAACCCAATATATACATCACGCAGAAGCCCAACATGCTGCTTTGCTGAATAAACACAGTCACACCTAGTGCGTATATTCCAAATCGCTGCATTCAACAAACCAAGTACCTTATCAGAAGTTCGAGAAGTAGCGAGATCCTTGCCCCCGTTCGCTAGTCAAATGTGTCTCGTTCTATTGGCGGGTTTCGAGCTGACAGCATGCTTACATGCATGTTGCATCTTAACAAATCCTTCGCTTACGACTCCTACACTGCTTCCTTCGCGTTTAGTAAGCCCAGTTTAGCCTTGAGAAGAAAGCTCGTCACGTCCAGTTCTCTGATTGGAGTTACTAGACGTGCGAACATGGGGCCTAATCCGTGTCAATGAGAGAATCAACAACGGACCCGGTTATCACTGCTCCCTTTCTTATCCAGAACCCGAGTAATCTCGTATACATGCAGAAAAATCATCCATCAATCCTCCTCCGCACAGTTTCCAACAACCATACTCGCCCGCCTCCCCACCAAACCATCCACATACCCGAAAAACACTTCCAGATCAATCATATCAACCTCCCCATCCTTATTACCCAGACTAGGATTTGAGCTCCTCATCACCTGTCCTCCCCAGAGAACACGTAGATACGCCTTCTCACGCTCACTAGTACCATCAGCAGTCTCATACCCTTTCCTCCGATAAACCTCAAACACGACTTCCGAACCCATGCCCACCCAGACCATCTGTTCCACCTGCAGAAAACTGAGTAAACGCGCCAACGACCCATCGTGCGCAACGTTGTGTCTGTACAGAACTGGACTCTGACCCGCTAGTGCGGAGCGCATGTTTTGTACCAACTCTGCCATGTAGACGCCGTAGGAAGCAGCAGCTGCTTGTAAGGAAAGCGGGGAGTCGCGGTAGATGAACGAGTACTCGTACTGCCCCAAGCGATACACGGTGTCGGCCTGGTTCTGGGAGACGCAGAGAGCGGGGTTGGTGATGTTGCAAGGTAGGGGTTTGGCGTGACATTGGCGGGCGGAGAGATTGTCGTAGTAGTGGTCGAACCAGGTGTGCCATTCTGATGAATCAGTGGGCACGCCGCTTATAGCGTCGAGAGAGGCGAAGAGAGGTACTGTAGCGGTGAGATGTCGCGTCCAGTTTGCGGCTGTGCTGCCGACGCCGTAGGAGCTGTAGAGGGAGGAGGCGGCTGGGCAGGAGTAGGATGGGGCTAGCGAGTCGATGGTGGAGGGTTGGACGTGTAGGGGCACGTTTTCTTTGGGGCTGTACATGCCTTCGATTAGCATGCCGGCGACTTGGCTGGTGATGACGTTGTTGGAGACGCGCCAGGTTGTCTTTTCGTTGATGTTGTCGGGGAGGAAACCGAGCAGGTCGTGGTATACGCCGAAGAGGTCTTTGCCATGCTGTAGAGAGTCGTCGAGCCCCTCGCGGGTGATTTGGGGGAATTGGCACGACCCGTTGAAACCACTCGCGGCGAAAGGGTTGATAGAATTGGTGTAGACGCTCCAGTATGTTGACGCCGACGTGTTACCAGTGGGATTGAGAGGCTCGCCGTAGTAGAAGAGACCTTGGTCAGAGCAATCCCAGGGATATGACTCTTTGGGGAAGGTATTCGAGGCATATGGTGTGCGCTTGTGATGGCGATGAATACTTTGCAGAATGTAAGCTGACGCTCTCGGTTGACTGGGATTGTAGGACAACTTACACCTCCACGTACGCCAGCTCAAAGTCGTCATCTACCTTGACATACTCATTCTTTCGGACATGAGGCATATTGCACCAGTTGTACGTCCCATAGTTCACACCGACAGGCAGCTGCGAGCTGTTGAACACGAACCCATTCGTGCCCGTCCCGTTTAATACTTGATCAAGATCATTAACCCAGCTCTTCTTAGGTGCGTACCAGCCCAAATCTACCTTTGTTACATTCTGGGCTACCGCTGTAGTAGCTATGGAAGCAAAGAGTAGTGATGCATAGCTGCGTGAGTAAGTCATATCGGTATCCTGAGGTAGCCGAAAGAAGAGCGTGAACGCAGTGCAGACGAGAACGAGTGCTGCCAGAGCAGAAAAGACAACATGGTGCATGCCTTGTATTTATAAATCGCTCAAGGCGCGATACCGGGAGCCATTGCAGATGCAGAAGGTCTCGTCGTTAATGGCGAACGTTGAGAGCCGAACGATGGTCGCTGCGCGCAAGACATGCACGATGCGAGGTACGAGATGGCGATTGGTCAATGAGACAACGAGTCTGGCCCGCCAACTGGTATCTCGGGATAAGACACAACGAAAATTATCGACACTGGTCCTGGGCTTCGTACTGGTTTTCACAATTTGTACCTTGATCCTAGCTTATTTCTCCACCGGGCTTGTTTCTTGCGAGTGTGGATCGAGCAATACTAGCTTGGATGATCACGGTCAACAAGCAAAAGCAACGAATGATTCATAAAATACAATTTTTTTACTGCTTCCCGAAAACGTACGATCAGCATGCTACAATCCCTCCACCGATCCCTCGATCGTTTGCTAAATACACGTTGAAGCTGTTCCCGCATTGCTCCAAATACTATCAAAGGCTACGCTCAGCGTGAATAACGTATCGACCACCCGGATCCTTTGTGAAACGGAATGAACTTTGTCGGAACGGCATGAATCTAGAATATACTAAACAATAAGAAAAAGGGTATGCGCAATTTTAAAATCAGATGAAAACACAAGCTTCCAGATGCAGACTGATATAGGAAAAGGCGTATGAGACCTCCAAGTGAGAACATGTACGGTGTGAGTTGTGATGGATGGCGAAGGATCAGAAGATGCTTCGTTGGGTAGAGATTGAATGATCGCGTTGTGCAGCGATGTTGCTTGTCGTGGATCCAACTCGATGATGCCGCGGGTATGGCAAGATGCCTGGGGTCTGAGGGTCGAGATATCTAGAAATCGTTGCTAGGGCGATACGGGCGATACTCGCGGCTGCCAGCGCTGGCTGCCCGTCCATTGGTCGCAGGAACAGAGAGCTGCCTGGAGGCGGGTCCATCCGATGTAACGACCCGTCGCCTGCCCTTTTCCAGTCGAGTGGTTCTCCAGCCCTCGTACCATTGCTCACGGGAAGCCTCGCGTAGCTCAGAGCGCCAATCACTGAAAACGCTCTCCCTGAGTTTGACAAAGTCACAGTGCTCTGGGTTGTAAGGATCGGCAAAGCCCCATGGGAATCTGCGACCAACAACCTCGGGGTCGTAAGGATCTGGCGAGATGATGCTGAGAGGCAGGAACGGAGTCTCGGCACTCTCGCTGTGGATCGAGGCGGACATGGCGGACGGCTTACGGCTGTGGCCTTTCCTGGCGCTTGGGGGCGACGTGGGAGGGGAGTGCGACCTGGTCGAAGAGCTGGAGGAAGCCATGGAGCGCGCAGCTTCGGAAGAAGATCGCTCGAGGATCTTGTTCAGAACTTCTGATTTGCCTTCGCCCTCAGACGACTGCTCGTATTCATCCTCGTCGCGCTCATCAAGTCGGTCGGGGTCTTCGTCATCGTCGCCAAGGTCCAGGTTCAAAGCCTCCAAGGGGTCCAACTTTGCGCGCTTGATGGTATCCCAGACAGTCTTCTTCAGATAGCGCATGTGCGCGCCGGTGATTGTGTCTGCCTTGCTAATGACTGGGATGACGGTGGTCCTGGTTTGCAGCTCGCGAAGTATGTTGAGATCGAGACGATCGTCTAGACCGCCGAAGATGGCGCTGCCAGCATTGACAATGTTGGACTTCTTGCGAGCCTCGGCTATGTTCTGGTCGAGGCGAATCGGATCCAGAACGAGGAAGACACAGTGGATGTGTGTATCCTTAACACCTGGCGCGCGTACGACCTTCTGCTCCTCGCTGAAAGTGTCTTCGAACTTGGACTCGAGGAACGAGGTGATGATGGGCAGCTGGAAGTCGACAATGTTCTTCTCGAGGCCCTCGGAGTCCCAGAGCGTGACGCCGACTCTCTCGCCATCAACTTCGGTCTCGAGGAATTCGGAAGTGAAAGGCGAGTCTCCACCACCTACAGCGGTAGCAGGCGGCGAGGGAGTGTTTGGGCGCTTTCGAGCCGGGAGCGCGAGCGCAGTGCGGAGAAACTCGATGAAAGAGGATTTGCCGCAGCCTTTGGTGCCAATGACAAGGATGCTAGGTACTGGTTAGCTCAGTGACTATGGCGATGCAGCGGAACATACTTGAAAGGCGTGGGGTCCTTCCTCCTTCGCACACGACGGGGGCTGTTGACGGTGCTGATCTGGCTGCTGGCGTAGCTGTAGCGACCGCGGTTGGTCATGCTCTCGGTCCTCGGGTAGGGATCGTAATCCATGTAGGTCGAAGGCGAGGAGCCTGGCACGGGCGGCGCCACAGCGGGGCTGGGTTGAGCGGGAGCCATCCTGTAGGTGTCGGTCGAGGGGCGGCTGAAGTTGTGGGCAGTGGGGTTGTAGGTGCCGGCCTTGTTGGAGACAATGGCAATGGAGTCTGGGCGCGTGTCCTCACCTCCGAACGTCGCGAGCTGGGGAAGGGCCGAGTGGGAAGGCAGGCGCGGCGGCTGCTTAGGCAGCATGGTAGCTTCGCGCTGCCTGCGGAGAGCCTCCTCCTGGGCGAGGGCCTTTTGCTTCCTGCTCATCTTGCCGCCGGAGACGCTTCGATTGGTGCTGCTGCCGCGGATTTCAGAGGAGCTTTTTCCGCTGGTTCGGCGCAAGAAGTTGAAGCTGGAACGGCGCGGTCCTGTTTGGTCGGCGGAAGACTGGGACTGGGACTGGGCTGCAGAGGGGCGGACAGAGGGGTCAGGTGAGCCGTCTTTGTAGGCCGAGGTATTGGTATTAGGTGGATTAGGGGACCGGTCGTCAGTGGTGGTGGCCATGGTGGGCAGCAGAGGGCTCTTAATATCAGTGGCTCACACTTCGCGCGCGTGTAATCTTAGCAATCGAGGACTGCAGCGTAGTGGGTAAGCAGTCCTGCTGGGTCTTGCTGGGCTGGGCTGTCCTGCGCACGGCACAGCAATTCGGAAGCGTCTGGCGTCCTAGTGCGAGGGCAAGTGAAATTGGAGGAGGAGCAGCCGGCTGTATCCCAAGGTCAGCACTTGGTCAAACGCGCATCCAAATGGCGCGTGCGGGTCGGGGGCCCAGGGTCTGGTTAGAGCCTCTGACTAACCTTAAGGCCCGAGGCACTACTGCAGGAACGATACGCGCAATGGCACCCCCGGATTCTGCACAAAAAGGAATGCGCGGCAGCAACGTTGCGACAGAGTGCAGTTGAGGAGGACGAGAGCATGCAAATAGCCCTGGAGGGCGAATGGAGAACAGACCGCCACAACGACTACACCAACGTCAACACGGCGTGACGCGTCTCGGGAAGGAGAAGGCTGGACGGCGCCTGCCATTGGCCGCGGCTTCTCGAGGTTGGATGCACAGCGGGAAACGACGATGGTGACGCCGACGGGGGTGGCACGCCCGAAAGATCAATGCGAAACAGCTGGCCTAACCAGACAACCACGGGCGACAGCGCCCAATTTGCACGCGCGCCAGTCATTATTCGGCACGCGATAGCTCAGTGTTGTGTAATCGTTATCGTCCGCCGGCGACATGCAGCTGGGGACCCGGGCCCTGGTGATCGTCACGCACATGAATAGGGGTTCACGCTAGCTTGCTCATCTCGAGAGCCCAGTGCCGCGCTGAGGGCGCAGAAGCCAGGTGTTTCTGGTAGGCAAGGAGCGCATGAATGCCATTCCGATCCGACACAACCTTCCTGGGGACACCCACGATGTCGCGTCGCAGAAAGACAGACGCCCTATATGCGCCCACACCTGGCGTCATCGTGCTCTCTTTTTCCAACAAACACAACAAGGTCTGATATTGGCTGATTCCAGATAGAGCAGAAACTTCACCAACGCCAACAAACTGCGCCTCGTGCATGTCGAGCAACATTGCCTCAGCATCACGCAACCTTGAAGATGTGCGCCTATCGATATGCCCCACACGCGTAGCGCGACTCAGTCGTCCTGGTCCCATGGATTGCTCTCCCGGCCCGCTCCATCCTACGTCAAGCCCAGCGATCAAACTCTAATAACAGATTGCCGCTCAAGTCAAAACCTTCCACTCTCCTCGATCTTGCCCATAACCTCTTGTGTATGCCCCCAGACCTTGTCCAGCCCGCCGTCCTCCCTCAGCTTCTGCGCTTTCTTGGTATCTGCCAGGATGTCCCCGTTCCAATTCAGCAGATAGCTTCCACTGCCCTTCACACCATCACTTCCAATAACGTCTGTCTTGGCGCTATCCGCTTTGGGGGCGTATCGCGGCGCCGTGGCAGCGAACAAATGTCTTTCGCCGCTTTCCACTTGTGGAACGAAGAGAAAGCGTCGAAATAGTCCACCCAGCGTAGACATGACGGTGTCGTTGAAGCGACCGAAGAGTTCTCGCGTTACGCCTGTCTCGACGCCGGATGGGTATTCGTGGATGTATGCTGTCTTTGGATTCTGATTTGCCAAGTGAGCCATGGAGAGAGACGTCATAGAGCTTGCATGGAGCAGGACGTTCTTGAGACTGAAGTTATGTCTGAGGGAGAGGTCGGAATAGTCAAGGCCTCCGAGTCTCAAGCCAGCCTGAGGGTCCAGAACAGCGACCACGCGAGACAGGTTGCCAGCCTCAGAGGCGTTGTTGAGGAGTGGTGTAAGTTGAGAGATGAATCGCATTCGTGCGTAGTATTGCACAGCCATCTTCCTGTCCAGTCCTTCCGCTGTCTCGTCTCTCCCCTTCATCGTGAGGTATCCGCACGTCATGAACAGCACATTGACTTGCTTCTCCTTCCTCTTGATCTCACTACATGCCTCGTCCACATTCTTCAAGAGCGAGATGTCCTTTTGGATGAAGCTAACCTGGGATGAGCTATTGATCGAGTTGAGCTCATCCATAATCTTGCTGGCTTCTGTCGCGTTTCGGCCGATCAAGTAGACATGGGGGCTTGTGGTCGTGCGGACGAATTCGCGAGCAGTGAAAAAGCCTATCCCACTTGTGCCTCCAACGAATACCGCGACTAGATTCGGAGGTAGAGTTTTTAGCGATGCATTGTGAGCGCGAACAATGTCGAGAGCAACCATGATGGCGAGTATTGGAATGAAGTAGATAATTTTATAAGGAGATGTAATGCTAATTAGAAAGCGTAAGCAACCGCGATGGCGGTTGTTGATAAAGTATCTGTTGCAGATGAATGTAGTCCTGCCAGCTTAACCGTGCGTCCCAATATTCGTCCGTGGCGACGGAGATAGCGTTTGTGAAGTATCCCAGACTTTTCGTGCCGGACAGATTCTAGCGGGGCATTCTGTACTCAGACTTTATGCTCGAGAGCATTGCAGAGGGGGCGTACAGGTAGGACGCTGGCGCTCCCACTCGAACAGGCTCAATCCTCCGTGTCCGCCGAAGACAGCGCTAGTCCCACCAGATCCTCATCCTCCACCCCACCAAGTACATTTCGCAACATGACTAGAATCACGTTCCGCGCAGTCCTTACTGGAGAGGAAACACGCCCACCATGAACGCATTCGGTGACATGTCACCTACTTTGGACCCGACGCAACTCGCTGCTGGACACGCTCCACCTACGCCTCCACACGAAAACGCACTCGACGACATCTACGGTTCAGCGCCAGCATCACCCACCCTCTCAGCGAACGTCCCTCATGTACGCGCTCACGAAATACTATCCGACCTCCCTTCGCGTCAACGAGCGCTCGACACAGATGCATACCGAGAGGGTCTGGCAAACAGCAAAGGCCAATACGTGCAAGAAGGATTCGATGAAGGCTACTCTCTCGGTGCCAACCTAGGCCTACGCGTCGGCTACATACTAGGAGTTCTACAAGGCTTTGTCGCGGCCTGGAGGGGTCAGGACGAGCAAGTCCACAAGGAAGTGTCACAAGTCTTTGATTCTGCGCGTAAAGAGCTCGCCATCGAGGAGTTGCTAGGCCGCCAGTGGGTAGACGAAGAGGGTATATGGAAGTGGGGTGTTGTAGGAAATGACGACGACCCTACATTCAGGGAGGTCTCGGACCAGCATCCTGTAGTGATGAAGTGGATGGGCGTGGTTGAGGACCTGGCAAAGAGGTGGGACGTTGATCTCAAGGCTGTGGAGAAGAGTCAAGAGTGACTCCGAAGGATACCAAGGTGCTCTCTCGCATTCCCACTCCTTGCCTGGCATATCGATATCACGACAAAGCCTACTTGCGTAAGCAAGGGCTGAAGTGGTGTCAAAGTCATCACAGCAATCGCCTCTCCATGTTCCCGATCGGAACGCTCTATAGGTCGCTCAAGGAAGAGGTGGCCTCCTGTTGACGGAAGATGAAGCAGAACTACACCATCTCGAGATAGGATAAGGGAAGGCAAATATTGGCACACAACGTCCTATCCTTTCCCATCCCGCGCAGCTTCACAAAGTCAAAACTTTTGGCTAGATAGCGAAACTCTCAAAGATTACAAAGAACGAGTGGATAGAGCTACGATAGAAGCAGAAGTTCGGGTTATACCGGAGCATGAGGCTGACACCTCTGGATGGTGCACGGACGAAAGAACGGTTGTAGGCGGGCAATTGGCGGCGTTGAAAATGCCGTCATGACTTTAAGTCCGACAATGCGCGACAGATAATGCAATCTCACAACGTGCTCCTCATGTCATACTACACATTTCCCGTGCTGTCTCCACCCTGTTTCCGACAGCCATGATACATGGCTTGTCTGCTCTTCGAAGAGCACCTGCGCAACATGCGACATCACGATTGCTGACGTCAACCTTCTCCCCCACGCGACTCTACCAGGCACCACTCGCGCGCCGCCTTCAAACACAGCAATGGGAGCCTCTGCGCCCTCCGAACCCCGCAGACCTACCCAAACCACGACAACGTAAAGTCAAGCCTCCGTTTACCCGCCGGAAATGGGTGCGCCGCCTTGCTGTCGTCTCTGCACTGCTCGGTGCTGGGTGGCTAGCTGACCGGCAATTCTACGCCTCGTCCATCACACGCAGTTTGCGCACATTCAAGACCGGCCTCTTAATAGGCATAGACTACAAGATCAACTTCCGTGCGCATCCTCCGCTTGCGAACAGCATTGAGGAATTGCATGCGCGGAATGCACAAAGGATATTCGACCTGCTGCGGTACAATGGCGGACTATATTTGAAGATTGGACAGGCGATTGCTATGCAGAGCGCGATATTGCCACCACAGTTCCAGAAGATGTTCCAGCAGATGTTCGACGATGCGCCGCAGAACGAATGGTGGGAAGTCGAGCAAGTTATACGAGAGGACTTTGGCAAAAGCGTCGAGGACGTCTTCGGTGTCAGCTTCACAAGGGAAGGACAGGACGGTTGGGGTATAATGGAGAAGACTGCAAGGGCTAGCGCGAGTGTTGCGCAAGTGCACTGGGCAAGACTGGCAGATGGAAGGGAGGTCGCCATCAAGATTCAGAAGAGAGAGATTGCGCAGCAGGTAGGATGGGACCTTTGGGCATTCAAGGTCGTTTCCAAAGTGTATACCTGGTGGTTTGGCATCCCTGTTTACACGCTGGTTCCATACATCTCGGAGCGCCTAATGCTGGAAACGGATTTCGAGAACGAGGCAGACAACGCGGTAGAGATGAAGGGGCTTGTGGCCGGAGAACCGCGACTCAACGGTCGGGTCTACATACCTGCAGTGTACCGCGAGCTTTCAAGCAAGCGCGTCATGACTGCGGAATGGATCGAAGGTGTACGATTATGGGACAAGGAGGGCATTACAAACAGCTGGAAGGGTGGATGGCGCAGAGGCAGCCCCGGTGCAGGTGGTAACCAGCTACCACCAATTCCCCGAGACGCTAAGATCGATACACATGCGCCGGAG